GTTTTCCCCCACAAGCCCTCCATCTGGCAAATTTACTATTTGCCAAACTTTATTTAGTCAGGTTTCTTTCTTCTGACTAAATGTTATGCTTGTCCCGAAAAATAAAATCCTCTCATGGATCTCATAGCAACTGAGTCAGAGTCCCCTTCAGTGATCTAACTTTTATCTTCTATTAAGCAAAACTTTACATTTTCCCCTATCTCAAAAAGTCATTTTGTCCCAGGTGAGATCTTTAGCTGGTAATTTGAATCACACTTGGAAAGTATGATAAGAACTGAATTTATGCTACCCAAAATACTCGGCAAGCATCACTGGGTGCCACACCACATGCAAATGTAGTATAGGCTATAAATTTGTAAATGTTTCAGTGACTCGGTTTTCAAAGTGTAAAATGATATTTTTGAAATATTTGGAAAAGACCAGAGATCATTAGTTGTGGAAATAATTCCATCCCATAAATAATTATCTGTAAATTTAGTAGTAGTTTTTGTCAGTAGAATGCTACATCTACAGTTTGGAGAAGTATAGTATATGGCATGTTGAATAACTTTATTATGTTGAGGTGATGAATGAGGTTTTTTTTTCCTTTCTGGGAAAAGCTAATGATATCAGACAGAAAACCTGATACTTCATCAGTTTCCTTAGCACAGCATAAACAGTTTCCCTCAGAAAACAAATCCATAACAGACGGTTCTTAATGCTACTAAAAAAAAATACTGGTGAGGCAATCCTGGATGTAGTTTATCTTAATGCAGCATAATAGAAGTATTGGAATTTCTGAGCAAACAGAATCAGAATATAGGTCATTTCAGTCTGTTTCCATTAGCATTGCTATTTGCTGAGCAAGAGGAGATTTTAAAGCCATGCAGGTTAGTTTCCCATTCATACAGCATCAATGATCTAAACTAAAATTGTTCCATAATACAACTTGCAGAAGATGTACAGAAGCACTTTTTTTTTTGCACGCAGATACAATGTCAACACCAGACTCCATTCCTCACAGAAAGTGTGAAAACAGCCTTTCTTTTTGTCTCTATTCTTGACTCTCACAGTTTAAAAACAAGCCTTTTTCCTGATAAGTCCTTTGGAGGAAAGCTATTTGCCTTGTACCATGTGGCCTTGAAAGGTGAACAGCAGCAGTAAACTCTCTTTCATATGCAACTTTTGCATGCAAAGGAAGGTTGGAATGGAGATGTGACTTCCCAGGTAGTGTTTAGCTCACAAAATCCAATTAGTGCTTTTGTGGGTATCAGAAGAAGTTTCATCTCAAGCGTTTTGAATGAGTGACTCGCAAACTCCATGACACTAGTGCTTTATATAACATTGTTCGTGTTGTGTTACATTCAGAGTTCTGTGCTCCACTTTTCAGTGGCTTAATCAGCTACAACCTATTTTAAAACTTGGAGTCCAATCCTAGTGCACACTAATTATCTTCCAAACATTTAGCAGCACAAAATAACTTCCACGGAAATTTGTCCTGGCAGTGACTTTACTGTCACAGTTGTACAAGTAGACAAAACAGAGCTAACTTTAAAGTGGGTCAGTGGCTGATAACAGCGTGTTGACAGTAGCAAGGAGTTTAGAATGGGCTTCGTAAATCATCCCAGTAACAGGTGGGCATTCAAATAACTGGTTCGTGATGAATTTCGTGTTGCTACATCTACACTGTTAGTGGTATCCAACCTTGTCTGGGTGTGCCTACACGAGACAGCAGTTACATCGCTGAGGCTAGGCTTTGACGCACTGAATTAAATAATGGCTGTATCCCATCGTAAATTTTTAAATTGCAATTTACAGTTGAAATGGGTGTGATCTCCCATTCGGGGTCACACCCATTTACATCCCACAGATTGTGAGGCAATAGCCATGGAATAAAAGGGTAGGGGGGATGTATGGTAAAATGAAAAAGGAAGGAGTTAAATCAGTGAGAATTGAAAGGGATTTGAAACAGGAGGAAAGTGACTGATAGAAAGGATTTAGGTCTTCTAAGAGATGGCAAGAAAACAGAGACAAAGCATGGCAGAAGTGATGAGGAGATGAAAAGGGCAGTAACCTGAAACATCAGAAGGCAAACAAGAGTTAGTAAAAAATAGAAACAGAGGTAAAGACAGGCAAAATCATGTTGGAGACTGACTGAGAGTGTACAAAGTCTGAATTTTATACCACTATTGTTTGCTGGTGTACTGGCCACTGGGGAAAGTGGTGGAATGGTCATTCTATGTGAGTGTTTTACAGAAATCCCTCTGGCATTCATAGAAGTCCCTCTAGCTAGAGGGGCCTCTCTTCTAATCGGAGAGGAATGGTCTTTTGGAACACGGGTCTCTGTACTTTCTTGGGCTCTTCACAATTGTAATCTGGTGTTTTGCATGATAAAGTCCCTGTACAAAGATCAGCTAAAACTGAAGGAGATTTCACAAGATTTAACAGGGATACTCTCATCTTTCATACTCTGCCTATCTGTGGATGTTCCTTATTCCTCAGTGCTAGTTGCCTTAGCTCAGTCTGGATAGCAGTTTCCTTTCAAACAGGGGAGAGCAAGGACCCAAATGGTGACAGTTCTCTCCGGTGGATTCAGTGATGGACTGGCCACAGAGACCTTGACAGATAAATGCAAGGATTATCTGAAAAGGAGTTACTAAGGATTGAATGGAATAAATTCTCATTCTGCAATTTTCCTGGGCTCCAACTTTTCATGAAAGAAAGATGAGGCACTCTAGTCTCCACGCCGTTTAATTGAATTCTATATCCATGACCATTAATAAGTAGTAAGCTGGGGAGGGAGTGTATGTTAACCTTAATATATCCATTATATCTTTGAGTCAAAATGTAGAGTGGCTATAAGATTCTTCTGCATGTATCCAGACTTAAACTGATGTTCAGATTTGTACCTGAGAAGAAATTCCCCCCCTGTCAAATTAGCACAGACCTCTGTTTCTTGCATCACCATGCCATGCTGTGTGGCTCCATCAGCTAATATCTCCTAGACATATTTTATGTAAATAACAGCTTTCTGTTGCAGCAGGGACCTCAGGTCTTAGAGAACTGAGGCTAAGAACAGTTTATTTTGGGGGAGTTTACACATTTTAGGTTCAATTTCTTTTTCAGCTGATCAAGAACAGTAGAACTCTATGGCAGATTTTCTAGTACAAGGTGTGTATTTCAGAGGTACAGACACGTAGACTATGTCCAGAGTCTGCTTGTAGAATTGGGATGTTCTGTGGTCATTTCTGTGGCTTCCTGTGGCTAAGCACCCTCGAGGTGTGAGGGAGGTGAGGCAGGCATATGCAGCCTATGGAGAATGCAGCATCTGTGGTCTAGTTAATATAGATAGAAATTATTTGGAGATGTTGATGAGGTTAATGGGAGGAGAATGAATGCTTGAGGGACCCTGACATGTTGGCAGGGAATGAGGGAGAAATTTGTATCAGAAACAAGCCCAACCACACTTATAAGCGAATGAGACTTAGAGTCCCTTCCAGATCATCACTGTAAAAGCAAAACAAAAGGGAGGAAATGGCGGGGGGTGAAGCTGTTGTCCAGGCCATTTCTGTGCTATTTTTTGTAGACAAGCCTAGCCAGAGTTACCAGGTTCTCAGGGTAAGTCTTTTAGATAGTGCATCCCCACGCAGATTTGTCTATGGCTCTCATGTAGGGTAGACAACCAGACAAGAGTTCTGGGCCAAAGCCTGCTGTAGTGCATCCTTGCCTTCCAAAAGTGTGCCACAAATTACTGAAGAGGAAAGAATGATGTTTATTTTGACAGTTAAAAAATAACAAACTTTATACCAAATGATTTCTTTTTTTAAATACAAGCATCACTGGGTAGAGAGTGGGATAACATCTATGAGCTGGCCTAGAAGTCTCGTTCTGAGTGCTGCTCAAGTCTTTGGTTGGTTTTATGTCAACCAACCACCAACCTTTGAGTGTTTGCTGCCACTTGGTGGCTACAGCAAATAGTGCCCGATGTTTCCTCACTGTTTGCTCTTCACTGGGTCTGTTGGTGCCCTGAGTTTTGCAGTATTCAGGCAGTCCTGGTCTGCCCCAATTGGGCACCTGCAGCACACCTCCTCCCAGGGTGGCACTGGCAGCTGTTCGGTGAGACTGTCGATGTTCAGTCATGAGATAAATAGATCTGGCTGTCTGTAACGAAGCAGTGAACTTTATTTATTTATTTATTTTGGCATCTCGTGGTGCAAAACATCGAGCTTTCTGGATTTATTGTTACTTGTGATCCTGTAGCAACAAAAAGGTACTTGGCATGGCAAAAAACTAAGAGTGTCTCCCCTGAAGACTTTTCTGTGAGTCCAGTGAGGGTGCAGATGATGCATGGGTTGGAAAAAACAGGGATGAGGTTGAAGCGGCAGCAGTGCTGAGCACCAGTTTTGAGTTGCACAGGTCACTGCGCTGTGCTGTATTTGACTTGTGTGGTAACTGAACTGTTAAGGTGAATTGGGCCTGGCTGGGATAGAGTTAGCTTTCTTCGTGAAGTCCACGTAGTGCCATTTTTGGGGTTTGTGGCTGAAGCTGTTGGGAACACACTGATATTTTGGCCTGTCGCCAAGCAGTGCTTACACAGCATCAAGACTCTGCCCCTCTGCCATTGTGGGTGAGCAGCTCTGAGGGGACACAGCCAGGACAAGGGGCATTCCCTACCCATTAATACCACGTTGAACAATAAAAACTGAGGTACATGAAGAAGAAACGGGTGGCTTTGGGGCTCCCGGTGCATCACTTGAGAGAGAGCGCTCTGCCTGAGGGGGCTATTTCACTTCTATATTTCCAGTTCTACCCTTTCCTTACCCCCCTCACCCTACCCCCCGACTCCTCCCTTAGTTGTGCTCCCCTTCCCAGCCCCCTGAGGAGCACGGAGGGGCTGCCATGAGGGCTGAGGGCAACCCCGGGCCGGACTGCGGCCACCCCTAAGATGGCGGCGCGGCGCTGCCGCCCCGCCCCCGCGGCGCCATGCCCTCCATGGGCCGGCCGCCGCCGCCGCCGGTGCCTGCTGCCTGCCGCCTCCTGTCGCCGTGTGATGAGAGCATCAGCCCTCACTCCCTGCCACGTCTCCCCGGGCAGCTGCGGGGCCGAGCCGAGCCGAGCCGGGCCGCCCAGCCTCCCTTCTTCCCTTCCTTCCCTCCTTCTTCCCTTCCCTTCCCCGCGAGGTGGGGCCGCACGGCGGCAGGAGGGGCGAGCCCGCGGGGTGCCCCCCGCTGCCGCCTCCTCCTCGTCCTCCTCCTCCTCCTCCTTCTCCTCTTCCTCTTCTTCTTCTTCATCCCCCCTCGGCGGCCCGGGGCGCCGCGGGTGAGGGGGCAGCGCCGCCGGGCCGCCGCTGCCGGCCGATGTCCGAGCCGTGCTTGGATGTGTGAGTACCCCGCAGGTGAAGCCCCTCCGTGGGGTGGGGGTGTGAGGGGTTTTTATGTCTGTTCTGCCTCTCTCTGGTTAAAAGTTGAGGTGGTTGGAGCCGGGGTTTGCCTTTTTAGACGTTTCCCCAGGCCTCGGCGGTGTGTCTGGGCTCCCAAGCGGGGTGTTGGGTGTGTTGTGGGGACGGGGGTCTCCAGTGGGGTTGCTGTGGGTTTTTAGAGGGTTGTTGTGAAGCGAGCAGCCCCGAGAGGGCTGTGTGACACAGCAGCGCCCCGTGGGAGGCCAGGCACCGAGGCCAAGCACCGAGGCCATCCCCTCTGAGGTCTGAGGAAGCGTAAGCGGCCGCAGGAGAGCCGTCGTGCCCAGGGCGACCATCTGTGCCTGCTTCTGCTTGCACGGCAAAGAAAACACATCCTCCACTTCGTAGGGTGGGAGCTAGGCCTTGTTACGTGAGGTAGCTCTTTCACCATTCCTTTTAATACATCAGTATTTAGCTGAAACGCAGGTAGTTCTGTTTGCGGTGTATGATCGCTCCTGTGCGTGCTTTTTGGCGGCGATTAACAGGTACCCAGCATCACTGGCATCTGTCACGGCTGTAAGTGAAAGATTAAGATGTCTGGACTCCACAGCGGTGAGTTGTAAAGCTTTTGGAGACAAGGCATCCTCTCCGTAACCAGCTCGAGTCTGTTAACTAGCTGTGAGCAGGAAGGATTTTCTGTGAGAGGGACACAGTGGTATGGGACTGGAATGGCTCGGCTCTGGTTTCGCCAGATGTTGAGGGCAGAGCAGGACACCAGCCCTTTAACCTGTAGTCTGCCCCTTTGCTTACCTCGTGGCACTTCTGCTTCTGGCATGACTTTGTTTCTGATGCTTCTTTCTCCTTCCAGCCTGCCTCTCTGGAGCGCAGACTCCTTCAGCTGGGGCGCGTGGCATCGCACTTGAGGATGCTCTGCTGGTAAAACCTGGGCCCAGTGACGCCAAAGTGGTGGTCAGGCAGTGCCAACCTCTCTGTGAGCTGTGCTGAACCTCCTTGTTGCACCTTCTCAGACAGAGACTTCTTCAGGCGGGGATGCAGCCACTCTTTGTTTCTGTTCTCAACCATCTTTGACTTTAATTTTGCAGTGCAAACCAGCACGTGGGGCAGGAATGCTATCCAGGTCTGATTTATTTGGAGGGACAGAGGTGCTCAGGTAATGTAACTTGGCCAGTTAGCTGCGTCCACTGTAACGTGTACTCCACATTTTAAGACCACAGGGTGTCTGTGTACCTCCTGTACACAGACTCATTCTGGCTGTCTCTTGGCAGAGACCTACCCACACTCATTTGAGACCTGATTATCAGAAGGTCTGGGAATTTAGGTGTTAGAGCTCCTGAAGATGGATATGGGGCAAAGCAACAAGATAGTACCGAGTCTGAGACCATACAACTCCTCAGTCTCAGTGCTTTCTGTGTGCCTCAGTATAATTAAATCCTGGGAAAAGGGGTTTTGTTTGTTTGTTTTCTTTATTTTCTTTTATTTTCTCCTGACAGCTAACATTACAAGTATGTGGTTCAGTTTTAGTTTTCAGTTTTTGTCAAAACAAAGAGGAATGTGTTTTTAGCACTTTTGAAAATCATTTCATCTCTGTTTAGACAGTTAATTGAATTTGTTTGCTATTAGAAAACTAAGTTTTAGAAATTTTACTGACTTCCAACCATTCTTTTGTTTGTTCGTTATGAAAGTTAGGTCCTGGTGTGTTTATAGACAGAGAAATACAGGGGAGGACTGAATCTGGTTTGCAGAATCTACTGAAATGCTTGGGATCGTTAGACTTTGTATTACTTGATCTGTCCTACTTAGCTATATTCTGCTACTTAATATATGTTTTCCTTTTTGAGGCCCAACTTTTGTTCTCCTGGCACTGCCATTCAGTTGGAGAGCTGATACAGTGTAGCAACAACACTGTGGTGCTGTTTTATGCATAAGAAACTGTAAGTAAGATACAAAATTATGACAGTGAGCCTTCCTTTTCATTCAGTGATCCCTTTTCTTTGCTATCTCAGTATTCCACTGCGCTGGAGTTTTCCTGGCTGCAGAGTTTGGCTTTTCATGGTAAGCGGTGGTGTCATGAAGTTAGCACTCTCTCTTCGTTGTTACCTAACCACAGTGGGTCTCTTGTGGTGACGGAAACTTTATTTCATTTTTTTCTAGCCATATCACAATCAGATAAGCAGGAGAATTTCTAGCAGGTGCTGTTTTAAAATCAGAGGTAAACCTCTAGTTGCTGTGTGACTTGGCCAAATCATTCATGAGCTGTCACGAACTTGCCTGAAAGTTTTCCTGCCATTCTTTTGGGGGTGTGTTCGTATGAGGGTCATTTCCAACATTTATTTTTTTTTTTGACTTTTTGGACTGAGCATGTTGCAAGCGGAAAACGAGACTTCTGGTGGGAAGTGAATATTATGCAACCTGGTCAGAAAAGCTCTGCTGGCTAACGTGGTGCAGCAGCATCCATGTGTGCTGACTGGTTTGAAACGTTTGGTTTAAGGCAAAATTATCAATAGACTTCTGCAGCCCAGTAATGCTTCGAAGGGAGCATGCATGCAAATTCAGACTGCTATATTGGTCTTGGCGTAATTAATTATATCAGGGATTAATGTCTCCTATTTTATTTTCCTGGTTTGCTAGATTAGTTGCTCTGCAAATGGTCATATGATGTTCTGAGTGCTGCCTACCACACTAATGGAAATTGAATTGAATATCCGAATATCCTTACTGTTCTGTGGGGAAATTGCATGACGGGGCCATCTGAAATGGCTAAAATATTCCCTGTACTTGTTATTTCAGATGGAAGCAGAGGGGAGTTGATGTGTCGTACGTTTCATTTGCAGAATTATGATTTGTGCAAATTATGGTTTATGCAGAATTCCGCTTCTCCACGGTGTCAGGGACGTATTAAGGCCTTTTTGTCCGCTGATACTTTCCAGTAGGAATTCCAGTCCGATGACTTGGGGTAAGGCTCAAGAAATGCCCAGCTGATTTGAATGCAGAGAGGAGCCCCTGGGCCTCCGTGGGATCTGCTAGCTGAATGTTGATGGGGTATAGGGAGGCACGCCTGTACATAGTACCAGTAAAAGTAACATTAGATGCTGTTAGGAAAAAAAGACAAACGTGAAATGAGTTTGCAGAGTGTGTCTTTCTTGTGTTCTACTCCATATCTTCAAACTCCTTGCTACGGGTGGCAGATGCCTGCCTTATTTTTAGCTGTGTGAGGACAAAATAGAAAAATCCTAGTGACTCCCCGTGGCTCGTCATCGTGGCTGATCTCCATTAAATTAAACATAGGGGCTGGCAGCGAAGCAAAACCAGCAGGAAAGCTGCTTCTGTTTGTTTAAAAAAAAGCTTGTCAAAAGTTCTAAAATAATACTATAAAAATATATTCACTACTACATACAGAGACCCCCTGGGAGGAGAAATACTTGCCCGAGTGTTTATCCCTTTTGGGATAAGGAAATGAGGCCTGAACCAGTAAAAACAACTTCCCTGCAAGTCAGTTGAAGAGGAGAGATTAAAAAGCAGAGTTCCCGGCTTGAAACCCTGTGCTTGTGCCATTAGACCATGTGTACGAATTGAGGATTTGGAAGAAAATGCAGATTTTTGATGGCTTGCTTGGCTGAACATTAAAAAGTGGGTTCTTAAGGCAAAAGTTGGTTCGCCCACCCACCCTCCTCCCCCAGGGCTGTCTGTTTGGCTGGGTGTTTGTCCGGATCAGCTAGAAAAGAAAATCTCCATGCCCAAAAGCCAAAATTGCCTTCCTTTTCCCAGTTGCTGTGTGTGGCACTGCATAACAGAGGGCAGCATCTTGGTAGTCCTGCGCCGGTGTGTGGTGCTTGGCGAAGGAATTTAGTGCAAGAAGTGTCTAAGAGTGTGTGCTAATGGGTTGTGTTACCAGACAGCCTTTGTGGCGTTGCCTGGGGTGTCTCCAAAACCTCATCCTCGCCGTTTGGTGATTGCCAGGCTTTGAAGAGCAGCATCCCTTGTCCTGCAGTGGTAGTCGAGCTCCAAGCTGTCTGTATATTAATCTGCCTCCCCATCAGTGATGCACGAAGTGCCTAAATACCTGGTAAGCCTGTTGATCTTCCAGTAGTTGGTTTGTTATGGGGGAAAAAATACAGGAAACGGGTTTCTAAAGTGAACTTTAGTTTCTATCTGTGCTAGGCGTGTGGAACTGGAGCTTAAACTTGTGGTGTTACATGCCCAAACCCTGCTTTGGATCTGAAGCTTAAACTCTCTGGAGCTTTCAGATGACAATGCAAAGTTGCCTTTGAGAACCATATGTCTAGCTTAGCAACTCCTGCCAGCTCTGTATGAGATGGGAATCGCTGTCCTTTTCCCCATACAATTGAGAAGCATGGGAACTGTAAGACCGAAATAGACCATGATCCAACTCGTCAGGACTGCATTTCCAGCTGGCGCTGGAAAATATCAACTTTGAAATTCTGCCGTGCTTTCGTATAAGAAGCAAATGCTTTCTTTATTCCAAAATCCAGTATTGGGCTGGGATTATTGCCGCATACATCAAAGGAGGCCAAAGAAAAGATCTCGCTAGCTGTGCGATACAGTTGTCCTGCTGAGAAGTGTATCATTTGCCACTTGTTTGATCAGCCCTGAGGACCACGGTGGTTTTTTTTTTGTTGTTGTTGTTTGTTTTGAATGTTACTCCACTTGTCTTCATTCATAAAATTATTGTAGTCTTTCATTAAGGTCTTAGTAAGCTGTTTGCTTTGACATCCTGCAGCACTTAATTGCACAGGGTAATTACATGGTTATGAGGTATTATTTTATTACTGCATGAATCGCAGCTTTGTTCTTGCTCTCTTGTAGCCAGCGGTTCATTGAGGGCGCTTAGCGTGTGCATCTTCTTTCATCCAATTTGCAAGGATTTTGAGTTCATCTGTATTCAGAGTAGGACTCGTCTCCTGCATGCCTCTGGAAATCTCTTCCTCGCGCCCCCTGAAGTA